ATAAGGAGAGAGAGAGAGAGAGAGAGATTTACTCACCGGCCTACATCACAAACCTTCGAGTAAATGAGAATAAAATTGTGATCAAGCTCAAAACATGCCTTCATGTATAATTAGTTTGCATGTGAAAGATCTTAAAGTTGAGTTTATATGGTTTATTTAAAGAATGATATAAAGCACAAAGCTAGCTGTTACAAATTAAGTAAGGTGATTGTAGATGACTTATCAAGGAAGTGTCCTAATGGGGGGGATACGGGACGAAACTCCAAAACAAAGTTTTATTTAAAAAGGCAATAGGAGTCACCTCTAATCTTATTATAAGCAGAATTAGACATCAAAAATGTGCACCGGTCCTTACCCAAGATTCCAAGTCAAAATTTCATAGGGTGGGAGGATGTTGGGTGCCTACCTTATTGTATAAGCTAGCTAACTATATCCTTATTCCCATTTTGATCCTATTTTTAAGCAAGTATAGCATTTAAATTTAACTGATTTAAGAAAGAACTGCAAGTAATTTATTGAACTGGACACCTTATTGACACCTTATTGACAGCCTTTGGTTCTTGTCCTAAGACCCATAAACAACAACCCTTTTATATATGACAAGTGCACTGCAGCAGATTTCCATTCAACAGATTATTTACCATTTTTGTACTCCCTAAACACCTCTGCATGTACCAAATGGCAGCCCAACAACCACTACCTAGACATCCCAAAACTCTTTTTTTTAGCCCAAAAAATGGGAAGTAAAGCCAAAAACATGGACTACCAAATTTTCTTTCATTTAGGACATTTTAAAATGGGATTGCTAAAAGCAGAGCCCAACAGGTACCTAAATAATTGTAGAGCATACTTAAGATGGACAGCACAAAATCTTACACGAATGATAAACAAACAAAGATAAAATTCCGGTTAATAGATGAGGAATAGTAAGTATGAGCAGCAGCAAGATAGCAATTAAAGGGAGGAAATTTCTGAAAAAAAAAAAGAATAATTCATAAAAATTGGACCAAAATACGTCCTAGAGCCCTAAAAGAAATTGTATGAGACAGCACCAAACTAAAAGTGAAACCAAAAATAAATTTGGGTATGAAACAACATCTAGAAAGCATTATCAGATCATGTAAAAAAGATTAAACCAAACTGAGTTTTGAAACTCGTATTTATGCAAAATAAATCAGACTTCCACACCTCATTCTTTTACAATTTTTGCAAACCTCTAATAACACATAAACTGCCTGAGAACTCCCCAAATAATTTTATTTCAAAAAAAAAAAATTTCTGGTGGAAGTAAGAGGGCCGTCGCCATTTTCAAAGAAAAAAGAAGGCATGTGTTTTCTTTCATATCACCTTAGACAAACACAGGGAATAGAATCCTCATTCTTTTCAAATCATTAGTAGGGCATAAATGGGAGTCTAACAGCAACAGGATTAAGATGACCCAGAACAGGTGAGCAGGCAGCAGGTAAGGAAGACTAAATGATAGAGATAGGAAAACAGTGCATTCAAGCACCAAGTAGGCCATGTAGTGGGGTAATTTCATTAAGAAAATAATGCACAGTCTTCCACAATATAATTTGCAGAAATAGATGAATTTCTAAACAGAAAAACATACATAAATATGGACCAAACAGAAATAAAAATTTCTTGAATGTATGGTGTAGATAAAAAATATCCTAGTATGGAAATGTGCTACATGACATTGTGTTGGGGCATCAATAAGCCAGTGCCACACCAAGGAATCCCAAGCAGAATGTAAAAGGGAGCAAGAAGGGAAATCAGTCCAAACAGCAAACGACATTCGGCATACAGAAATTGAGAAAAATTTTCAGTGTCCATGCTGTTTTAGACCATGATCAGGTTTGGACCTGAAAGCCAAAGTTTGAAATCATGATTAATCAGTCCATACTACCTCTCAACAGTGTTTACGCCTATGGGCTTTTATGACATAGCAGCCAAGTTTATCGGCTTTAAGAGGAACAAATAATAAATAAGAGGCAACTAAGAGATAAACAATCCAAAGTCTGAATTTGTCAAAACAAGAAGCTATTACAGTCCATCAAGAGGGTGCCCAAGCCAAGGAAAATCAAATTCCACCATAGCTGTCCTTGGGATTTTTGTTAGATTTGTAAGAAAGCAAATGGCCCTAAGCTAGGTAATAATCAGAGAGTTCTTTCACAGTTTACTTGACCAATCAATTCCCACTACGTCAAAGAATTAACCCTTTACCATCTAATCATAATACTTGATCTAAAGACCTTATACATATAAAAGAATTGTGCCTCTAACTGGAATCATGCATTCAGTGAAATATTGGCCACAGTGAATTGCAGAGGCCTTTCATGTATTCTAATCAAACAGCATCAGTTCCACATTTTTCATCTTAGTCATCCTAGTCAAATGTAAGTTCATGGCAGTTTGAGTTTCATTCTTCCAGATTACAACATGCTTTCATCAATTCCAGAATTAAAACTTTTCCATTGCAATCTTGTAAAAGCATATGCCAATTAATTTTAAGATTTACAGAAATTTACCTAAGGGGCCCAAACTGGAAATCTCCTGAGTGAATTTGCTGGCTGATGAAACCTTTTGGTCTTTGCTCCTTTCTTACTCTTTCGTTCCTTGTTCTATTAGCTTGCTTCTTTTTCTCTCGTCTCAACTACCTTAGCTCCTCTTGCTGTTTCCCCCTTTGATTCTTGAAGGAAACAAGAAGAGTTTGCTCCTTTCTTACTCTTTCATTCCTCATTCTATTAGCTTGCTTCTTTTTCTCTCTTCTCAACTACCTTAGCTCCTCTTGCGGTTTCCTCCTTTGATTCTTGAAGGAAACAGGAAGAGAAGCTTAGGGTTTTTCTTCTCTCTCTGAGTTTTCAGTTTTTCTCCCTTTTTGTTCTTGAACTGCCCGGCCCCTCCCTCCCCCTACGCAGGGGTGCAAATCATCATTCAGGTTCCCCTTTTATGGAGAGATCAATGCCCTCTTCTGCTCCAGAAACCCATCTGGACGTGACACCCTCAAGCTTGTTACCGTTTCCATTGGGTTTTCAGATCGCCTCCCTTTTCTTGCTTCAAATTTCCTTCTTCTTTGCATCCATTGTCGTCCTTTCCTAAAGAACTCTGTCCTTCAAATAACTGACCTCGTGTCTCGCCTCTCCTCTTTCATCCGCATAGCACATTCTTTTTTTACGTAGGAAAAGGCATCCCCACTCATCATGGGCAGCTTGCAACGAAGTACTATAAGCCTATCAATGAGGATAAATCTCAAACAATTGACAGTCTGACATGACCCTGACCAGTTCAAGGAGTTTAATGCTTTGGTTCGTCCCGCATAGTACATGCTCTCTCTACCAAGAAAAGTTTCCCCACTTATCATTCGCAGTTTGCAACAAATTAATCAGTCTATCAATCAGGATAAATGTCAAGAATCAAATGTCACCTGGTATATGTGGTTAAGTAAATTATGTGTTAAACAAGTGTTTTTCTTTGCACATATTTGATCAATTTCTATGTTGAATAAAGCAACAATACCCTCCCATTCGGCAATTCCACCTAGTAAAACTAAAATAAATGATTGCATGTCTTACCTCAATTAGTACAACAGTCCATCAGAGCATTGTTCAATAGATATCTGAATCGCTCTTGCAGAGAATGCAAAACTCTTTATCCAGTAAATGAATGCCTCTAGACCTCACAAAACCAAGAGGTCTGAATTAAGCTCAGTTCCTCACTAGGTATTTATCTCTATTTAATTTCACCAAGTTCGAGAATTAACCTCCTTCAAATCACATTTATAGGGATATGTATAGCCCACTGCGCTCCAACTGCTGTTCTGGTATGCCTATTAAGTAGCCTCTTTTCAGTACTGATTGATGGACTTGGTTGTTTACCAATGGAATGAGATGTTTTAGCATAACCTGCAATAGCTTTTAACACTCTCCTAAGCAAAGACCAAACATTCTTTTAAGTGAAAACCATCACCAGAAATCTCCGCACGAACACACTCCATCCTTAAACAAATGAAAACGAACAGCATCTCTCACAAGTATTTCTCTCTCGGTGATTTTGGAAATATATTTAGTGGCATTGTGGCAATCATTGCAGACTCTAAGGTTTTTAACAACTCGTATGGGAAGGCCAGGAGGAATAAATATCAGCCCAAATGCAATTGCAAGCCTCTCACTATGGTGGTGAAGCATCTTTATTTTCTCTGATTCCTCAACATCATGAAGAACAGAACTTATATCTGGCACATAACCTTTCTCTAACATTTTCTGATTTAACTTCTCCAACTCAACATATATCTGACATGAATATGGACTTGACTGATCATCTGCTGAGAAAATGTGCACTTTTCCTTTATATTTGATCCAACTACATCCAGGTTCCTTTCTCACTCCCTTTTCTCTCATTTTTCTCCGTAATTGTGACACGGAGTCCCATCTCTGCTCAGCAGCATAGATACTTGCAAGTAAGATGTAGCTTGCAGGGTTCTGGGGCTCTAACTCTACAAGTGATTCTGCTGCCCATTTGCCAATTTCTAAATTCCCGTAAACTCTGCACGAACTAAGTAAGGTGGACCAACCAATAGTATCAGGAGAATAGGGCATCCTATTTACAAATTTTTTTGCTTCTTCCAAGCTTCCAGCTCGGCTGAGGAGGTCAATCATGCATGTATAATGATCCTGAGTTGGTGTAATCCCATGTTCTTTCACCATTGATTCAAAATAATCACAGCCTTTATCCACCAGTCCTGCTCTGCTGCAAGCTGAAAGAACCCCAATGAAAGTAACCCCATCAGGTTTTAGATCTTGTTCTAACATTTTTTCAAATAATTCAATTGTCTCATTCGCTTTTCCAAATTGAGCATAGCCAGAAACAAGTGCAGTCCAAGAGACTTCATCCTTGACGCTCATTTCATTGAAGAGCTTAGTAAAATCCTCAAGACTGCCGCATTTACCATACAGAGTGACAAGTGCATTTGATACAGTAACAAAAGAAAGTAAACCAGAAACTATTGCTTGACCATGAAACTGGGCACCCTCTTCTAAGCTTGCCAGGTTTGCACATGAGCTAATTACACTTCCAAGAGTAAAATCGTCTGGGACAATCCCATTTCTCTGCATATCACAAAAAATTTTTACAGCCTCTTCACTGTGCCCATTTTGACCATAACCCACAAGCATTGCAGTCCATGATACAACGTTCTTGTGTTTCATTTTCTTCAAAACAGCCTCAGCAGACTTAATGCTTTTACACTTGCAATACATATCAACAAGAGCACTGCCCACAAATACATTATCCTGATAATCAGTCCTAAAAACAAAAGCATGAATTTGTTTCCCTTCCTTCAAGGCCATAAGCCCCGCACAAGCAGTCAATACACTTCCAAAAGTGAACTGATCCATGGCCAAGCCTTCCATTCTCATCTCTTTAAGCAACCTGATAGCCTCTCTCTCCGAACCATTTTGGGTAAGTCCAGTAATCATGGTTGTCCATGAAACCGAGTCTTTCTCCTTCATACTTCGAAACAACTTTTCTGCCTCCTCAACCATCCCAAAACGCAAAAATGCTGTAACTATAGTATTATGCATAACCACATTTCTATCTGACATCTCATCAAAAACCTGCTTTGCATCAGAAATCAACCCCGTTTTGGCGTACATATCTATCAAAGGACTGCCTACAAAAACATACGACTCAAACCCGAACTTCACTATCTGCCCATGAATCTGCTTACCCAAAACAACACAATTCCGACTAGAAGACAATATAAGCATCGTTGAAAATGTAATTCTATTCAAATTGATAGGCCCATCTTTCAACATCAAACTGTAAGCGTTAACTGCCTCAGAAACCAAACCATGAGAGGCATACCCGGATATAAGCGAGTTCCAAGACACCCCATCTCGACTTGGCATGCGAGTAAACATATCTTCCATATTCAAGAGATGCCCAGATTTGGAATACGCGGAGAGAATAGTGTTCCATGAGAAAAGGTTTGGTCGAGCCATTCTATCAAACACGCGACGTGCATAATCTATGTTGCCCAGTTTGCTATAGGCATTTATAAGGTTGTTGCAGAGAAAGGGTTCTGGGTTTATGAGGGTCTTGATTACGTGGCAGTGGATTCGCTTTGCTTGATGCTGGTTTCTTGTTTCGCAGCAGAGGTTCAACAGTGAAGAGTAGTGGCTAGAGAGCCAAGACATTTGAGTTCGTAGAACCTGAAGCGTTATTTGGCGGGAAGAAGCTTCAGATTAGTAGGAAAATGAACAGAGAAAACGGAACAAAAACCTCTCCAATCTCTTCGGCATCTTCTATTTACTTAAAACTTCATTTTATTAAATATATATATAATCAGAAAATAACTGATACAATTTTATATAAAATATATAATATATATTGTTTGTGTATATTCTGGCAAACCATCATCTCTAAAATCATAACATAATTAATATGAGTAATTATGTCAATATTTAAAATATAAGTAATATCATTTTTTATTATCTAAAATCATAACAAATTATTGTCAAGAAAATAATTATATACAACCATGTTCTATTTTGGACGCAATATTTTCATTTTATAGATTTATTAATTATATAATAAATAAATATAGATTTTTTAAAATATATATATATATATATATCAAGAAAACATATAATCAACATAAACAATTCCCTTTCAGGGATGAGCAGATTAATCATCCGGAAAATTCAAGTAATGAGCAGTGACTAATTTGGTGATGATCAGAATTTATAAGAAATTTCCAAGTTACGTATAAGAGAGGCTATAGTTGTTAATTGCCTCCTTCCAAATCCCAATGTTTTGTGTCTCCACCACCACTGCAGAGCTATCTCTGCAAATATTATCAGGTAATAATGGATTCTCATAGCAGAGAATCTGTTCATGATAATTACCATTACAGATCTGCTAGAGTATATCATCAGTTTTTTACCCTGATTTATCATCCTGACTACTGCAGAGATAAGTTTTGACCATTCAATTGCTTACGGCGACAGATCTCAACAATTTCAGGGAAGGAGGGAAAAAAAAAAAAAAAAGGGAAATTGCATTGCGCCTGTAAATATATAATTACTGCATATGGCTTCCAACACCGAGCTGAATAATGCAGCATACTCCCAGATTATCTTATAAACTACACAGATAACAGACCCAGATCCTATTATGATGAAATATGAGCTTTCTCTCTTATCCCATCTCATAGGATTAGTAAATATCAATCTATACATTTTCTGATCCATGAACAAGGCTTCTCGCAGCACAAGCACATGTTTCCGCAATTTTTTTCTCGCCTTCTTAAGCCTGTGTATGAATGAAGCAAAACAAACATGAAGTTTGCTACTGCTTCTTCTACTTCGGGCTTTTTAAGCTACAGATGATTGCCTGCTTTGCCTATGCAACTCACTCTACAAGCTGAAATAGCAGCTTTGCATTGTCCATGAATGTTTTTTCCCAGCTTCGCATTCGTAACAAATTCAAATGAGCTTTGTTTCCTCGCTGATGGTGCCAGTACAACTTGGGATAGAACTTGAGAAAGTAGGTTTAGAGCTCAACTTTCATGTGGCCAGAAGGCAGAGATCCTGCAGAAGCAGTAGAGGGTTGCATTATTGGCTTACTTCACCAATAAGAACATACATATATGCAAGGGAAAGAAAAGCAATGAACTATACCATCTACGTCTTGGTCGCCAGGAGGGGCAGTGGATCCATAACTCATCTGGACAACATTGTGCAGTTCATCGTCCCACCCGTTTGGCATCTGTGGTACAAGAAAATTACTATCACTTTACAATGTACCGTGAGCTATCTAAGATTGCACATTTAAGCCAATCAGAATATAATTTTGTAATTTCTCTTCATATGCTGCATGAGAATGATGTTCTCCAGTCCCTCACGGATCAAGGGTCAGTGTTTTACCATTTCAATCAATGAACTCTATTACTTTAATCACTGCCTAGCATCTAATCATATAGGCAAGTTCTACAGCTCCTTTCCTCTCAACCAAATAAAGGTATGAACTATGTAAAAGGTGAGTGATCAGCAAATCATGAATCTGGTAAAAGACTGAAATATACCTGAGCAGGCTCTTTGAATCCACCAGTCATGGCTCCTCTCATGGACGGCAACTGGGAGTTGATATTTCTCCTAAGAATGTCGGATGGGCTGCAAATGGCAGGGAGAGTGGCAGGGATAAGACCTGGTTGAGATGGATGCATTGGAGGATAAGCCATAGATATGTCTGGGGGAAACCCCAATGTAGATGATGGAATGGCTCTTGACTGAAGGATCTGAATAAAAATTGGTTACATGAAGAAACACTTGGTGGATATGATGAGAAACAAAGGAAACCCAGGATGGCATATGCATCAATGAAACAAATGCAAATTTACTTACGTCTTTCGCTAATAGCCCTTCTAGGTTAAAATCCAGTCGTGGATTTACAGTCGCAAGTTTCATGGACAGAAACTGGAAACCCAAAAGAAAAAAGATGCGTTAGCTATGAGCTCCTCCAAAGAAAGACTATTCCGGGAGACAGATAATCAAAAAAATTGAAGGGGGATATAGCTATGAGTTGTCTTCTTCTCAAATTATGGCTCGTGCATAAAATAACAAGGAAATAATTATATTGTCTCACTTAAACAACCTAAATCTAGTTGCAAGGGGCAGTTTACATATGTATCAACCTTTCTGATGAAAGTTCGTGCAGAGTTATGAAGACACAAAAATAGCCAATTAAAGTTGACTAATTGAGAATCACTTGGCTGGAAATGGAGAATATATCACTTATCATTCCCATACCTCAACTTGCCGTTGCAGTGATTGCACATAATTAATAATTTCATCTAGCATCACTGCCTTGCCGGTGACCTGAAATGATAAATCAAATCTAGATCAAATGAACTGTAAGGCAGTATTTATTTACTTTGATAGCAGAGTTTTCCTCTAGAAAACAAACCTTGCTGCAACCGGGTACAAGATCTTGAAGAAACTTCATTCTTTCACTAATTTTTTCCCTCCTTACCTGTAATCAGAATCAGTTAAACTACCACCAGTCTAATACTAAAAGAGCAGATGGCTTCATTTTAACTTAAACTTATGTTAAGTCTTACTCTTTCGGCAAGACTATGACTATTTGTGGCCTGGCCTCTCCGAGCTCTGACATGAATATATTCTTCTTTTGGAGGATCAGAAGCTTGTGATGTTTGTTTGCCATGTTTCCCAGTAGTCTTGTTAGGAGTTGAAGATGGATTTTTCTCGCACATTTGATGGTTTTCAGCATTATCCTTCATCGTTTCACCAGGTTGTTGGCCTCCTCCGGATTGATCAATCTCATTCTCCAAGCATTTTAAAGTTAGCCATGCGAACTACAGAAATTGAAAAGCATAACAAAGAGGAAAGACACATTGGAAAAAAAGCTTCTACGTTTTCTACCTGTCCAGCCCTCTTCCTTTTCTTTGAGCTGAGACACCTAGCAGAAGTTTCCCCACCAGTACCCTCCATGCCAGATGGTTCATCTTGACCACCACCGCCACCACCGCAGAACTCAGCTTCATCAGACTCATTACCAGACCCAGGTACAACTTGTTTTGCTTCATCTTGGGACCTTGCAATGCTCTCACTTCTTCTGTCATTCTTGAGCGGACTCCCTTCGGTAGGCCCGCGTTCTACTGTTAGAGAAGCATCTTTGGAAGGTTCACCAACATTCAACTGATTCTTATGAAATTGCCCTCCAGACACTGACTTCAACTCACTTCCTAGAAAAAGATCTTGAGGTCCTTGTATCATGCCCGCAGTCCGAGTGTACAGACCCATAGCTTCAGGAATGCCAAAAGGAGTGACTACATCACCAAAATTCCCACCATTGAAACATGAAAACCTGGCAGCACGCTCAATGAAAGCAGAATCAGCTGGGAACTGAGCAAGGCTCTGTGGAAGCATTCCAGGCGCACTTGGCAAGAGAATACTCCCCTTCAACATTGCACTTGGTGGATTCCAGGCCATATCAAGTGATCTGTCAATGCTACTTCTCAAAGATGCAGGACTGCCTTTACTAATTCCCATTGCGTTTGAAGTGCTTGCATTGTTTTGCACGTTAATATCACAAAATCCCATGCTTTGTGAATTGGGAGGGTGTTCCCACAGGTTTTGACCAAATGAGTCCACCATTGAAGCAGAGCAGGAAGAAGAACAAACAGCCATTGGATTATCAGATGGTATTAGACCCATATGCGTGTTAGAAAGATTGCCGCTACTAAATCGCCAGTCTGAAGCAACAGTAGGAGAATTATAATTCATTGGATTAGTATCATTGCCTCTTGCCACCTCAAAATTATCCTTCTCACTCATATCCATCTGTCTTCAACAGGGAATAGCTAAAGCCGAAACCTCTCCTAAAATTCCAATTCAACCACCTAAAAATTTATATTAAAACAGACACTGAGCTTCCAAAGTTGACCAATACAAATCCAGAACTCAAGGGATTCGATAAGGTTAGCCAAAGATCAAAGCCCTCAAAGAGGGAGGAAGGGGGGAAGACAAAATTTTGAAAAACAAAAATCCAAAGATGCAATATTGTTAAAGAAATTTTAATTTTACAACCAAACCCCAGCCCAACTACAAAGCTTGAGACTTTCAATGGAAACAAGTTGCCTCTGGTCTCAATGAGACTCGGTCAAAAGCTCAATCCAAGGAAAGAAACCATGTGCAAAGTTATAACTAGGGAAGCTACAAAAAGAAATAGTTGTGGAGAAAGTAACAACGGAAATGAACTCAATTTAGGGCCTTGAGCACCCAGAAAACACAGGTGAACCTATGTGGCCAAGATCAAACGAAGTAATCTGCCTCCGTTTCCAAAGCAAGTATGGCACTTGAAGTACCAAAATTGCAACACAACGAGGTGGTTTCCTCAAGGAAAAAGAAACACAGAAAAAGAAAGTTCAAAAGGACCTGTCAACAAAAGAGAGAGAGAGAAAGAGAAATAGAGGAAGTCTGATAGAAGCAGTCAATTAAACAAAAGGACATTGATTTCAGAACAATAAATAATCCCCAGCCCATTCAAAACCCTAGTCAGAGTTTCTGAAACACAGAGAGAAAAAAGAGAGAGAAACCCAACTAAAAGTGGGCAGAGAAAGATACCCATTTGAGATTCTGTGCTACTTTTGGTACCCTGCTCTCCATTTCAAAGCTTTTCACTTCTCATAAACCTTATGGAATTTGAACTTTTGTTCAAACACCCCCTAGTCTGCTCCACTGTCAATACTCAATGCATACAGAAAAGTGAAGATACAGAGAGAGAAAGAGATAAAGAAAGTAGTGGGTATTTTTGAAGGGAGAGTGAAAGAAAGAAACAATGGCAAAGGTCCTCCATTTATACCCACGCTTGCATCAAAAAGAGAGCTTTGATCATTAACTACCGCCACTGCTACTGTAAAATATAAGTAATTGCTTGTTTGTGCGACCTCCCTCCATCAAAAGCATTTTGATTTTGAATTTTTTTTAGATTTCACCTTAACTTTAGTTTACCATTAATATGCATTATTATAGTGGGCAATTATTCTAGCAACTGACGATGCCAACTTTCATTAGGAGATTATCTTATTGCATTAATCCTTGGGAAGTGAGCTTTAGTATCTTTAATGGGGAGGGGTTTGTTGGTCAAGAAGCCAAAATCTAGCAACTCATTTTCACACTTCCTTTTCTCAAAAAGCTATTAATCTACTAATTTAAGATTGTTAGCAATTTAATTTAATTAAATTAAATTACATCCCACATGGCTCATGCAATGTACATCTAATTTTCACACTGGGAGTTTTTATGATCTTTTTATTGTATTATCTATGCTTTCACATGTATCTTCTAAATTAATTTCTTAGTTGAAGAAATTTCTTACTTGAAGAAGGAGAAACTGTATGTTTAATTAACTCTTTTAGTGGAAAAGTTTATTAGGCGATCATCTTATAAAATTAGGACAAATAACCCTTTCTAAGGGTTTTTTTAATTCTTTTTTCTTTTTTTTTTTTGAAAAACAAAATCATAAACTTTTCAATGTATATAATATACAAGCTTAATTGTAAAAATGGTTGTGTCTCACAATAATTTTTTTGAAAATTTTGAAACTTGATATATCAATGTTGCAATTAAATTTTTAATTTTTAAATTTTAATTAATTTATCTGTTAAATTTAACTATATTTTTAAACACATTATCATCACATAATTGTTATATGATTAAAAATTAATAATGTAGCTAACATTATCGATTCTTCTTTTTAATTAATTGATAATTAAATGTGGGTTTTTTATAAACTCAATATTCTGCATTATGGTATGATTATAATATATATATATATATATATATATATAAGTAATTGCACTAAATACCCTTTAGTTTACAATGGTCTCCACTTACACCTCTTTTTTTAAAAATATATATATATACTCTTTCTCCCCTATTATTTGTAGTTTCTGTTAACTTTCAACACTGAGTTTTAAAATAACAATTTTGCTCGTATGTACAAGTACAAAATTTCAATGTTCTTTTTTAAAAAATAATTCACTCTAAAACAATTTTACTTGGTTTTTTCCTTAAGTTTGAAGTTAATTCTATTGGAATCACTGGGTTCACAAATATTCAAAGCATACATAGCCAGGGTTCACTTATTCTTAATTCCCATTTCGTAATTTTTTAATCATTTACTCAAAATTATGATTAAATATTCATTAAAGATACTAAAGAATTGTAGATAAAAATAAGTGTCTACGACTTGAATATATAGTGAGTGAGAAACAAAAAAATTGAAATTGATGGAAAAATTATATAAATTTTTGAATTATGACAATTGAAGGTATTAGTAGACTCAGTCTGATTTTTCTACTTATAATTTTTTTTTAGAAGCATCAGAGAATAAAAATTTAATTTTACTAAATTTTAATAATGACTTAGTAGAATATTGCAATAGATACAAGTTTAATATTCAATTTAATTCTAAATTAAATGAATGTAAAAAATATTTTTTAATTCATTTAACTTAGAAAATGAATATGAGAAATTAAATCTTTATCCTTGATTACCATAGTAAAATTATATTGTTTTGTATTTTATATATAAATGTGTACAAATTTATCAACTAAAATTATTAAACTCAAATTTCTTATGAACAATTTAGATATTTATATTTTTCAATTTATATTAGATATGTTGGAATTGTGAGTTTTTTGAAGTAATTTTTTACTGTAATTTTGGAAAACCATATTTGTACTTAATAATATTAAATATTTTTGTCTAAAAATAGAGAGGCTAAGTATAGGTTATGGTAAAAATGAAGGTGTTTAATGTAAATTTCCTAAAAATAATAACCTATTAAAGTTAACTCTTAGCTACTAAACAAAAGTTGAGCAGCTACATTGTGATGTTCGCCCCCCATCATCCATAGGAGGTACCTTAAACTTAATTATATATGCATATTCTTCTTTTTTTTTATAATTATTTTATGGGTTTTTTTTTATTTTTTATAAACCAGTCCACTATTCACATTATTGTACTACATATATATATATAATGATTTTGTTGAATTATAGAATTATTATTTCATTTTATTTTAAAATATATGTTTATATATAAAGATATGTATAATTATTTTTAAACTCACGGTATGTTTTTCATTTTTCAATTTGAAGGTCGAACCATGTGTATGATTTTTGTTTTTTCAAATTCGAAACGCTTATTTTAAATTTTATGAAAAGAATCAAACATAGTAATAATATAATTTCGTCAACAAATTAAATAGTCAAAAATATAATTATTAATATGCTTAATACACTGTTTCTCGACGTGATTGTTTTTCGGATGATTAATTAGCAATAAGTTACAACCTAATCCCATTTCACTTGTCATCATTTTTATTTAAAATATGAATTAAAAAGAAAACGAAATTACCACAAAATTAGTAGAATTATTTATAGATTTGATGTATATTAGTTCAAAAATTTATTCAAATAAATGGGGGGGGGGGGGGAGTGGCTACCAAATTTACTTACATTCTCGGAGTTGACCCACAAATATATACTGAGAACACACACTTATCTTTTTCTCCTTTAAACAAGGCTTCCCTAGGAAAGATAATTCATTGAACCATATAATAATAATAATAATAATAATAATAATAAATTTATACATACATATATATATATATATATGTTAATTTACTACGTAGCTTGCACTACTGGACTGTCCCTTCCTCTCTTTTTCTCATGTCATTATTAGTTGGCATTGGGACTTACAATCTCAAATAACTAAGCCTTAGAATAATGGAATCTCTATCACCCTTTACTTTATTAAAAAAAAAAAACCCTAATCTTTTACTTAACCCCATGCTTAATTTTCTTTTTCTATTTCAATCTTCATGTAAGAGAAGAACCTTGATTAGTTATAATTGGTTTAGTTAATTAAGAGGATATGGTAATTATATATATACATTGTATAAGCAACCATAAACAAAAATCTAGAGGGGAATAGTCCAAAGAAGAAGACGTGAAAATTATAAAAAGAAAACAAAGGGAACATAAAAATTAAAATAAAATAAAAAGTATACATCTTTACATATATATTAATTATGTTAAAGAAAAGATGGGATACGTTGAGATTCCTTGGTACAATTTTTTTTCTTCAATTTCATAATGAGAAACCCAAGAATGACAAATGGGGAATTGCCACGTGGAGATGTGGGGTTACCCTTTTATAGGAAACCTTTTGATTGGCGTCACCTTTTTGTGAATAATTTAATTAATCATAAAATTGCCCACCCTTCTGGCAAATATATATATATATATATATTCAATAAATATAGTAGTACCATATATATATATATATATATATATATTTAAATAAATTAGGGATCGATGAGAGAGTTGGTTCATGGTTGGCAATTGGGTGTTTTTTTGGGAAAGCCAAAAACAATTGGCAACCAAATCCCATCTACAACCTGGGATATATGAGATCTTCTTAAATGCACAACTGCTAACCCCATTTAATTTGTGTGTGTACATACATATACATATATACGTACACATACATTATACACACATATATACATACTCTTCCCGACGAGTGATGGTCTTAATCAATTTATTTAATTAAACATATAAATATTAATTTCTGTTCATGCCGATCATCTTTTTTATATTATGATCAATTAAAAATCAGAAGCGCGTCTCCATACTCCATTATGCATGCCAAGTATCTAGCCATAACAATTATTGTTTAAATTAACGATGTATATACATGGGGTCGGTGGTACTTGTACTGGTACGTACTTGTGTATATATACACACACACACACACACACACACACATTATATATTTTACTTAAAACGTGCCGTAGCAGAAATTAGTTTACGTGCACATATATCAGATCGTAAGTACTCTTTAGCATCATCAGAACAGAAAAAAAAGTGATACAAAAAAACTCAATTGGAAAGTAATTCGAACGATACGAATTAATAATGATATAACAGTGATTATATAATTGCTAGGTATATGCATTTCAGTATAACATATACGTATTTGTTTATAATTATTTGTAAGGAAGGTGTCCATCGATAATAATTTTAATTCCTTATATATATGTTCATAATTAATTAATTTTAACCTATGATTTCTCATGACCTTTTCTCTTGGGACAGGTAACCCATTAAATTGTAATATTTATTTTAAGGGCAAAAAAGGGTGTTGATGATATAATATTAATCAAATCAATGTAGCAACCTCTGAAATCACAGCTCATTTCGGTTTGTCCTTTGACTAATTGCTCATGCTAAGATAACAAATTAAGAATATGATGTGTATATGTATTTAAGTCAGAATAATTAATGAGATAGGTTTCTCAAAGGTGTACGTATATATATGTATGTATAGATAGAGGATAGATATAACTTAATAATGTATAGAATTTGGAATAGGTTTAATTTTATGAGTTTGACGGAATCATCATTACAGAGGGCATGATGAGATGGTGGTGAATGATGGTTTTCCAACTTTTATACACTTTTCTTTCTGAAACCCTAATACCATAAGATTCAATTCACCTTTTCTTCTCTCCTTCTTCTTCTTCTTCTTCTTCTTCTTCTTCTTCTTCTGATTCTTTTGATTACCTGAAAAATGTTACCAACTTTTTCCTCCTCATCTACTTTTTCTTATTATTTCACTCACACCACTCATGTGTGTTATAAGTATATATCAAAATTATTAATGTAGGGTATGGGACCCCTTCGTTTGGTGGGATAATTGTGATAAAAGTGTACCTCATATTCCAACTCTTTGTCCCCTCCAACTAGATATGACTGTCCCCATTACATATCATAACCTTTATATATATATATATATATATATATATTAGCTATAACATACATATAATATCACATATTATATCTAGAAGTCATCATACTTGAAAATTT